AGTTCAAGGGAAAGAATTATTGGTATAATTCCCCCAGCCTGAGAATGACGTTTATGAATATAAGCTTTTATAAAATATCGTTTCCTCACAAGTAGTCACATTTTTTCTTACCGCATTCATATATATATATATATATATATATATATATATATATATATATATATATATATATATATATATATATATATATATATATATATATATATATATATATGCATATATACACCAATGGGTGGAGAGACAATTATCATCTGATAGACGACGCACAAGCAGGTTTTATGAAAATAATAATCTACATACGACAATATATTTATTAATGAGGTTTAGTTCAACAATATATCTTTAAAAGAAAAAAGTTGATTATATTGTAATTTGTCGATTTTAAAAAAAAACTTTTGCCTAAAATTCGCTGTCAACACCAATATAATTTAATCTTGGAAAGCCAACCATGTAAACTGGGATTCCAAAGTTAAAGACATGTTATTTCAAGATACGTCTGCCTAAATCAATATGTTGGAGACGAAAAACACCTTTTCTCACTATTTCCACCAAAAAAATGGAGTATTCGGTTTTCCAAATTTGATAAAATGACATGAACAATTCACATTAATGAATGTATTATAGCATGCGTAAAACTGAATTAGAGCCCTAAAATATTTATCATGTGGATTTTATCATGTGGATTTTCATATATTTATTTAGGAAGTTATATTTGCTAAATTCAGGATCTGAGCACATGCTGAAATACAGACTGGTAGACAGCAGAAATAGGTGATGTTGCTTATGTTTATTTGGTAGAAGATAAATTACAAATTACTTTAATTAAGTTTAGTATCTTTATCAGTCTGTAGAAAAAAAAATTGTGTCATTCATGAGTCATAGTAATTTATTAATTAAAACCAATCTTTCTTACTATATCATTTCTACGTTTCGTCTGAGACAATTTTTGATAACTCACGCGAAAGTGAATGATACACGCAGTGGTAGTAACACATTTATAATACGCTTGTAGAACACCATATTTAATTTACGTACACCATGTCTCATACTGTATTTGCTTGTACATGTGGTTCAATTTACCGAATAAAGCATTATATTATTAGTATTATTATTATTATTATTATTATTATTATTATTATTATTATTATTATTATTATTATTATTATTATTATTATTATTATTATTATTATTATTATTATTATTTCTTTATAATAATGTATTGTCCGGTCTTTGACGCACAAACATTTTTTTTTTCCCAATCAATATGCCAAGCCAAGCATCAAGTTATGAACAGTTTCATTTTTGGTACAACCTATTATTTGAAGTAATGGAACATTTATGTTCTGAGCAACTTACAAGAGGACCTTGATATATGAAAAGATGATAAGTAAAGCATAAGTATGAAACATAAGGGAGTTCTTGAATTTAGCATAAATACATACTGTGCGTTATGGATGGGAAACCTTGCATTACTCAATAAACACTTTTTCCCTTTTGTAAGTACCTCGCTCTCACTTAAGCATTTGGGGGAGAGGGGCTAACATTTGCGTTCGTTCAGGCCTTGGAGAATATAATAATACCCGTGAAATGTTCACGGAACCTATGAAACTTTAGAGGTCCTTGTGTTTTTCAAACTTTCTTTGTCACGTCTGTATAAGCGGCGCCCTACATATTTGCATTAGATTTTTAAAGAAGAATTTCCCGGGGTTTTTTTTCTCACTGGTTATACTGGCTATTTAAAAAAAGAAAACATTGTAAATATTAGGTATTGTTAAAAAAAAACATTAAATTCTCTTTATTTTGGTATATGATTGATGGGTGTTAGTTGGGTTACACAAAATACAACTTTGCCTTACTTCAGATGCGCACCTGTTGAAAATCAGCTAGCTCCGTTTGGTCAATATTACTACCTTGACTTAAAAGGTAAATTGCAAATTAAAGAACCAATACCATTTTTAACATTTGACCTATGTTGTAATTCACTCATTGCATTTTTAGAATCTCGTATTGTCTAATCTTGCAAATATTATTTTTCCATTTTTTAATAACTGCCTAAAATAGTGTACTTTAGACTAATTCATTCTGATTTTCGAGTACATCGGGGCAGTAATTTGGTTAGTATTTTTTTTAGATTATGTACGATTTTCGCAAACAAAATCCAAAGACATTTCATCCATCTAACATATTGCTATGCCAACATTCTCTCGATTGTGCATGTTGCAAATGCAAACAACTTCACTTAACGTCACTCTCTCAGAAATTCATGATATCTGTAGAGCGCTCACATAAAACAAATATGAAAATATGTGCTATCATTTTTCTTATTTTCATTTTGTATAATGTTCTCAACAAAATGTTACACTGAGAATATTGTTATGCGTGAGAATAAGCTAAGTAAAATAATTTTACTCATACTTACACAATATGCGTTGTGGCGTATTGTTATTGACTTTAATTAAGACGGACATTAAAAGTCTTAAAACACAGAAAAGAAGTCACATAAAAACTGAAATTAAACTACATGAAAGAAATATATAGTGAAAATGTTTTCGTTCAATTGTAATGAAATTAAGAAAGAAATGATGACAAAACAATTTTACTTTCTTCCATATACTAGTGTTAAAAAAATAAGCAAATATTTTATCCTTTGACCTTTGACTTCATTGAACCTGATCTATTTCATCCCATTTCAACCTGTACGATTTATTAGTGACATCTCATGATAACTATGGCAAGCTGCATATTCGTGTATTTCGTAATAACATTGGTTGCTAAGCTGAGATAATGTAATGTGCATTTTTAAAATAGCTCTCGATCCGAAAGAGCACTGAGATCTTGTATGACATTGCTACTTTAATGTGTGGGGAAAACAAACGAACCATTCAACAAAATTGTTTTGATACTTGCAACTTCAGTGTTTCAGATATACAACAAAAACGAACTCCTACAATAATAATATTTATGTAATGTTTACGCATATTATAAATGTCTGAGAAAAGAGTAGAGAAAGAAATTTGATGTACAACTTTAAAACAAAAATATGTTATATCACATTGATATTTAATTAAAAGAGCTAAACAAATATGTTGAAAAAATCTCTCAAAGGTATTCAGATTAGATTAGTCATGTCATTGCAAAAATATACTAGTGAACTTTCTTGCATGATTCAATCTTCACATAGTCTGTATTTTCTGTTTCTTTCTCTATATTTGTTATATTTGTTTCTTTTGCTTTCTCTTTTTGTTTTCTTTTATAAGTATACAATCGAATGTTTCAGGCACACTCTTCAAACTATTTTCGGCACGAATCGATCAATATCGCTAATTCTATCGATCTCCGGTTTTTTGTGATTTACTCGAGAAACGCGATAAAAGGTGATTAAGACATGACAAGCACTAACAAATGAAAATCATCTTGAAATGTCTTCGCTTTGAATTATACTGTATCAACGAGCGTGGAAAAGTTTAGTCTTAAATTATCGGATCATCAAAATTAATTTGATTGACGGAAAATGTAGTCAAAGACGAAACTATGGAATTAATACGCCTAATCCTGCTTATTTCCGGCGTGTTCATTTGGGGCTTTCCGCAAAATGATTGAACTTCTTCTAAGGTAGTCAAGCCGGTAAAAGCGTCAAAAGCTTTCATCTTACTTGACAGAGAGTAGTGAATATTTAATAACATACGATCAAAACCTAAAGTGTCGACCGATGATAAAGGGTGCTTATTTTCGCCAGTCAATGATCAGGATTGACTGTTTACTTTCTCACATCGTTAACGACCATCTGACACCAAAGCATTTCACGAAACAAATTTCATGGTATTCAAAACGTTTGTTGTGTTTTTCACAAGAGAAAGTCTAACAAGAATATTAAGTCAAACTTTCAAATAAATATACTAGTTGAATCTTCTCTGCAAATAGACGTGGCATACAGATTTATCGGGAGAAAAAAAGTTAAAGATAAAAGATGTGCAATGACAGCACACATGTAAAACTTTGACAAAAAGACAAATCAGCATATTTGTATTTTAACAAAATTAGCTTGTATTAGTTTTGTCTTCTTTTTTTTACAAAGAGACTTGATAATAATAATGTGAATATATACATAAAAATAAACTGTTAAAGTTCGCAGACTTCTCTCTCTCTCTCTCCCTCTCTCTCTCTCTCTCTCTCTCTCTCTCTCTCTCTCTCTCTCTCTCTCTCTCTCTCTCTCTCTCTCTCTCTCTCTCTCTCTCTCTCTCTCTCTCTCTCTCTCTCTGCTTATGGATGTGAAAGGAAAGCAAACTAGATGCATTTAATATATTTTACGTGACGGTTGAAAAGGACAAGACTTGCTTCATGCAGTCTTACAAAAACAACATATTCGATGTTGATGTTCAAGTATATTGGACTGCTTGCATGGACTGATTCAGGAGCTTTTACAAAAGGAAATGGAGATTAAATGAGGTTATTAGGCAGATATAAATTGACAAAATTAGTTTTTTTTCCCTTGAAAAGTGTATGTTTTTCTTTCTGGACTTACCCCAAATTACCCGCTAAAATAGCCCCCCACCCGTTATATGTGAAACTGGAACCACCAAATACTGTAGAAGCATATATTGCAACAATCTATGCAATATCTTTAGGATTTATACCCGACTTACTTTCTATGGTTTCTACATTTACGTGTGAATATAATATGGGAATGAGACCCATGCTGTACTTTAACAGTCCATCCTTATAAGTAATGAGTTGATTGATCGGTTGAATGAACGAATAGAGTGCGATTATGATTTTTAACCGAGCTTTCTAACAATTTTTTCAGTCATATCACTACGATATCTGCAATGTGGCAGTTTATAGTGATGTCTAGCACTTGGGCATCATGCCGCAGACATGTAGCATGGTATCACACCCAGTCACATTATCCTGACACCAGGCCGATCAATCCTAACACTAACCTCTATATGCTGAGCATCAAGCGAGGCAGCTGTTAGTACCATTTTTGTAAGTCTTTGGTATGACTCGGCCGGGGATCGAACCCACAACCTTCTGCGTCCGAGGCGGACGCTCAAATCACTAGGCCACCGGAGAGGTTCAATGAATGAATAGAAGAAGGAAGGATAGATAGATTTTATGATAGGGTAGAGTGGGTATGAATAAATTCGATATATATATATATATATATATATATATATATATATATATATATATATATATATATATATATATATATATATATATATATATATATATATATATATATATATATATATATATATATATATATAATACATTTAAAGGATCTATGTCGTGAAATATCCACGTGACACTAACTTTCAATGAAATCCATTATTCTACATTGGTTATGTTAAAATGTCCAGTTGTTGTAGCTGTTTGCTGTTGTTGTGTTATGTTTTGTTTCTTTTTTAAAGGAGTTGGGGTCGGAAAGATGTTTAATTTTAGGGCGAGTGTTTTCAGATAGTTTGTTGTTTGCTACAATTAAATTGTGATTTTTTTTCGTGCCATTCTTAGAAAGAATTCTTCAAAACAATTGTCTTTCGATCAAGCAAATAATCTAATATTTTTGCTGTTTTCTTTTTCTGGACGTATTATGGAGAAATAACTACTTCAGATCAGCTTCAATTAAGTTTTGTCTAATACCAGCTTACACTGAATGCTTTCTAAATAATTGACGTCCAGAATTGATTGTTTTGAGTCCTTTTATGAGAATCGGTATCTTCTCTTTAATTGTAATTTAGTCCGTAGGTCATGCGCTTTGTTGTTGCCAGTCTCAGGTAAAATCAGCTAAGAGGATTTACACACATCAATCAGTTTTATGCATCAAACGATTACCTGTGAATACAGGCCCGCATTTTCAGGATCTTATTGAAAACAATCAAGTCCTTGTGTGAAAATCTTGTAAGGACTTTCCCTTTCTTAAGCTATATTTACAACCAAAATGATTTTCTCTTCCATTTGTTGTCTCTACTCGTTTGAATTATTATTATTATTATTATTATTATTATTATTATTATTATTATTATTATTATTATTATTATTATTATTATTATTATTATTATTATTATTATTATTATTATTATTATTATTATTATTGTTGTTGTTATTCTTGTTCTTGTTCTTGTTCTTATCATCATCATCATCGTCGTCGTCGTCGTCGTCATCATCATCATCATTATTACTATTATTATTGTTGTTATTATTATTATTATTATTATTATTATTATATTATTATTATTATTATTATTATCATCATCATTATCATCATTAATAATAATAATAATAATAATAATAATAATAATAATAATAATAATAATAATAATAATAATAATAATAATAATAATAATAATAATAATAATAATAATAATAATAATAATATTATTATTATTATTATTATTATTATTATTATCATCATCATCATCATCATTATTATTATTTTTTATATGCCATCGTTTTCTGTTTAAATAGACAAAATACCGGCAAGATAATGTAAATATTTTTTTTCCTTTCTTTTAAATATAATGTAGCCTTTCAGTTTAAAACAATGCATTTAATCGTTTTTCAGCAAAATTGCTTTTTGCTTATTTGTGTCTTTTTCATCTTACCATTCAACATTTTTTACTTGACTTTATCATTTAACATCCTGGAAATATTTATGTTCTTTAATAAATGTGTGCGGCGCAGATTTGTGGGCAAAAGCAATGTTTTAACTTCAGTAAGCAATAGTCAAAATTAGGATTTCATTTTGGCAGATATCGCATAAAAATAAATTTGAATACCAGTACTTTGGTTGAAGCAATGTTTTCAATTACTTTGTTTATTTCAACGAGATGATGATGCCTGCTGATGATGACGATAAGATAATGATGACAGCGCCGACAACGACATGTGATGATGATGCCGATAACTGGGATGATATTTTGACAATTTGTTGAAACTAGATTAATATCTAAATGAGAAAATAAAACAAGTAATTTATTTTGCATGAATAGAAAACCGTTAACTTTTGTAAATATGTTGCCTGTTATTTTTGACACATTTTTCTTTTTATCTCAATTATTCTTGAATCAAGGACCATATTGCTAAAATAAAATATTTACTATTAAAATACAGATGTAAATGTAGCTTTCATTTTCACTTTGTGCTTTGTGAAAATAAATTTGTAGACGAATATTCACTCGCGTTGGGTTATTTCTTCTGCCCTGAATTTGGCCTGAATTTGACTAGTGATATAACTAGAATTAATGATCTTCTGAAAATTTCAATAACTAAGTGTCGTGCGTCTCATGTATGTATGTATGTATGTATGTATGTATGTATGTATGTATGTATGTATGTATGTATGTATGTATGTATGTATGTATGTATGTATGTATGTATGTATGTATGTATGTATGTATGTATGTATGTATGTATGTATGTATGTATGTATGTATGTATGTATGTATGTATGTATGTATGTATGTATGTATGTATGTATGTATGTATGTATGTATGTATGTATGTATGTATGTATGTATGTATGAATGTATGTATTCATGCATGTCCTCAAAAAAAAATAAATTCAACGATGCTTAAGCCAAGAGTGTGTATCATTTTTCTGGGCTTAATAAATCATTGTATCGCCCAAAATTTTTAAAAAAAATGTTTATGTTATGATTCGTAATTTCTTTATTTTGGGACATTAATATATCTTAAAACAACACTCTAAAACGGTTGAACAATGTACAAATATATGTGCTATATAATGCAGCTAAAACGGCACACTTTTGATTCAGTTATGAGAATACAATATGGATTTAAGTAATTAATTTTTTGGGAACAAAACTTATGTTCTATAACATTTGTCCACTTTGAAACGAAAGTATAATTATAAGAAAAGCGATACAAACAGATGTACAAGCAAATGGAAACTTATTTTATCACTGAATTCGACAGCTCATATCCAAATTGCGCGCGCATGATAATGTCTTTAGACAATTTTACAAATGCAGCCAATATCTATAAAATCGGCAAGAATAAATAATAATTTCAAAGTGTAAAGTTACATAGTCAATTATTTTTGGATAATTCTGTATGTGGTATATTTACTGCAAATTTGATTAAAGCTTTCTTTTCAGCATAATCATTCATTAATCAAGCAGCAATATCTGGTTAGAATTTTTTCCATTAACTGTAAATTCAAGTAAATTTCAAGAATATTCAACTAACTATATCACAATGGTAAAAGAATAATAATACAAATATTTTTAAAAAATCTTGAGTCATATGAAGAATAGCTGTTCTGAATATTGTTTTCAAGGGCAGTGAATTGCATCCAAGGATTTCTTTCCCGACTTGACGCAAAAGGCAGAGCATCTTCTGATTCGTCCCCCTCAGGGAGGTTGTGATTAGGGTTGGAGGGAGGTGAGGGACAATTTAATTGCCCAATGACGCCAGCAAACAGGGCCAAATGCAGTCGGAATTTTTTTCTTTTGCTTTTACTTTTGTTTTGTTTTGCTTGATTGTTGGTTGTTTTGTTTTTGTTTTGTTTTTTTGGGGGGGATGGCAACTTAAATTTTAATATTATTTTACCACACCCTACTGTAGCGGGTGAATTATTCACAAAAGCTATGGGAGGGGGGGCTGACAACTGACATCAAAACTGTTCTTGGTGTAAAAGAAGTGGCACCAATTGAAAAATTAATTACCCACTAACTCTCAGACTTTTCAGTTTCTATTTCCTTTTTAAACAAATGTTTTCATTTTATCGAAATGAGCTTGAACATATAAGAACTATTTACCTTCGGCATGCAAATCTTGCAAACTGTTCATTTGTTTTTCAAGATGAGCGTCACCTACTCAGATTTGCAGACCTTTGTAAGATTTGGAGTCACTCAAGAGTATAACTTGAACGCTGGTATTGCAGAGGCACGGTCATGCAAGATGAGATAGTTAAAGTTATAATTATTTCGATCTATCGATTGACAGGCATATTGATTGATCGATTGATTGATTGATTGATTGATTGATTGATTGATTGATTGATTGATTGATTGATTGATTGATTGGTTGGTTGGTTGCATTGCATTGCATTGCATTGCATTGCATTGCATTGCATTGCTGGGGGTTGGGGATTATGAACAGATTATTATGCGTCATGCATGCAATATCTGTCATATATTTGCAATACAGCACTAAAATGTACGTTCTATGAATTGCAAATGTTTAACACAAATTTTGTCCATTGAAGCGGTTGTTACCATTATCTCCAGATATTAATATGTTTTTGCTAAAGCAGGCGAGACAATAGTTAAGTACGAGTTGACTCAAATAAGACAAGGAAAGCAACTTCTATTTTTTTTTGTCCAGGCTACAGCAATGGAACAGCTACAGGTTCTATTCAAAAAATGTCGTAGGCTTAAGGCCCTTTCTTCAGCACATGATATGCTTGCTATACATAGCGGCAATTATAAATGTCGGATGAAAAACCCAGAAAACTACCGAGTAGAATGACTAATATTTTAATTTGTTACAATATCACGTTCTTTGGAGCACGATTGAAGTATATCCGGTATTAACTTAGGAAAAGATAATATCCTCTGTATAGTATTATTAATAGTAGTAGTAGTAGTAGTAGTAGTAGTAGTAGTAGTAGTAGTAGTAGTAGTAGTAGTATATTATTGTCGTTGTTGTTATTGTTGTTATTGTTATTATTATTATTATTATTATTATTTTATCATCATCATCATCATTATTATTATTATTATTATTATTATTATTATTATTATTATTATTATTATTATTATTATTATTATTATTATTATTATTATTATTATTATTATTATTATTATTTCCTTTTCCCATACAAATCATTGCAAGAATATATTTTCTAGATATTTGACAACGGGAAATATCACCCACCTACCCCCAGTACAATAGCCCATTATAAGTGTTAGCATTTTAAAATATGTGAGAAAGATTTTTCTGATAACTCTGTGAATTATACGTAGATACTTAAAACGAAAGCAGTCTTTTTAAGCACTTAGTTTTAGCAAACTTTACCGAAGTACACCATTGTGTTCTAGGGTAACTATT